GAACAAGAAACTGGTTTTCACTACCAACGAAGTTAGCTATTGATAACGCTAGACTTTCTATACTATTTTAGTACATCGTCGTACCCAATAGCTACGTAGATTTGACAATAAAATAGTTTCGCGATCTCGCCAACTCAGATTCGACGATTCTATTCATGCGAACACCCACATTTCCGAGTGACTAGAGAACGCTGTAACTACATGTGTTTGCGTGATTTCAACCGTCGTTGCTAGTGATTCCGACAATTCTGTGACGTGTGGATCGCTCGTGAGGGTATGTTATCTATGATGAAAGTATCATTCTCATCGCGCGTCCCGCTAATATCTTCTTCATGCCTTGGAAGAACATTGGTATGCTCTTCTTCACGCACTGAGGTAGCTTTTGTGGGATTGCCCTTACTCCGTTTACGACAATTCTTCGCATTATTTGGACAATTCCCACTCCGAGCATCCTTGTGCCAAGTTGATGACACTTCAGAACACATTACCTCACGACAATGACGGTGTGCCGTTGTCTGCGTCCATGCCGAACCGGACTGGTAAGCCAAGCCGTGTGACTTTGTTCGATCTTCAGTTGTTCATTATTCGCTGTATCTTGTCATGCATTGTCTTTTTGCGTTTGACACGATACTCTGTCTTTTTTGATTTGACTAACTTACTGTTCCTCATTTTGTCGCGCATAAGCAGTCGATACTCAGTCAACATGTCGGCATCCAATCCAATGCTGAAAAAGAGGTCACGCCAAAACACAAGATTGCCCACAAGATGGATTGCAATTGCAATGCGGACCAGCATCACCAGTGACACGCTACCAAATACGTTTTGGTCTTGGGTGCCAACCATGTCGATCTGTTGATTTAGCGATTCATTCACCTCGTGTCTCCGTCGTTGGAACAACTCAGCAAGTTTCTAGCGGTGGTGAATTCTTCTACCACCTCTTTGATTCCAAGTACAGGAAGACACTGTCATTTTCCATGCTCCGGTAAGTTTTTTTGACTTGGATCGCTGCTCTGTTTGTATCGAGTTTCCGTTTACACCCTCACCGCATTGATCGTGTACGTCAAAATGATGTTTGTAGATGCACTGTGCTCTTACAACCCGCTCATTCTCTGGGATGCTTGCCATGTCACGGATGAAAAAGATGAAATACAACGAAACTCGTAGGATGTCACCCTCCTGCATGTCATTGCCGTTTTGACAGAACGTGCCTTCAACTTGTACAAGCGATTCTTCAATGTCTTCTTGCGATGGCCGGATCAGCCAGGAAACGAGGTTGTGGAACGGGATACTTCAACATACCGGAGCTACGGTAGACAGGTATCATCTTGACTTGACCTGGAGTCTTCTGTTGAGATGGAGGAGCAACACGCGTCCCGATGATCAACTGTCTTCTGTCACCAGGTTCGTGCCCGTTGTGTTTTAGCCAGTCATCATTATTCCACTTGCACCTTGCTCTCATCTTACTGTCATCATCTGTCACCACATTTGATATACAAACCGCCTTGTCAAAGTACAGGTCTTGAGTCATCTTCAACAATGACGCAGCTTCCATTGCACCGGCACCATCGTCGTGGTTGATAACACACTCGTGTTCTGGTATTTCCTCCGTAAGTTCCCGTTTCACTGTACAAATACGACAGAAGGTGCATTTGGTGGAAAGACTTACTGGCTTCCTTGTCTTTTCTCCAACCAGACAGGCATGGCCTGATGAGAGTCGTATGTCCTACCGCTGGACCTTTTGTTCCATCCCATGTCCGTGGAGGTTCCTATGTATGGAAGTGAGGTTCCGTCCACCGGTGCATCCCCAGTCTCAAGGCTCTCCCGCCAACTGTCCAGATTCACCTCTGTCTCCGCATATGTCAGTCTTATCTCTTCCATCAGATTATCATGCAGGTAGCCATCCACTATGTATTCGACATAAGGACAATGCTCCGCTCTATCTGAGAGAACGTTCTCCTTTCCATGGATTTGCTCCAGGCAATGATAAAAAGCCAAGAACCTTGCCGCCTCAGTTCCACCATCCCCACTACCCACAAAGGCAAGTACAAATTTAACATTGACTTCAAAGTCACATTGGCATCACCACGCGCATGTGAACTCCTCATTGTTGTTCTTTTGGGTTGTGCAGTCTTTGGTTTGACTGTGGAATCCTTCTCGCAGTGGGTACACGACAGTACCGGTGTTGTTGCCACACCAACAGACACAAACTTCAACTTCAACGTACTCCTGTGACAGCGAGAGCAGTTGCAGTTTGCCTCGATGAGCTGTGACAGTGGAACACTTTCCAGAATGACACGGTTTGGCAATGGGGGTTCTGTAAGCTTGTAACATCATTCTCTGTCATTTCGTCATCTGATTCTACTGTCTCTTCTACTGCAACTGCTACCTTCCTTCTACCAGACTTTACAGTGCAGTACATTCCCTTTCAACGAGATCTACACCCTCTATTCCATCCACTTTCGAGGAAGTTCCTTGATTGAGACGTTTTGCATCCCAGGAAGGACCACCGAATCGGCCATGGTGATCCAGTTTCCTCAAAGCGGCGTTACTACTCCTCTTGCTACTATTCATTGCTGTTGTGGCTGTTGTGTTCTGCGCAGAATCAACAAATTGGTGAGCCCGACACATTCATCAAGGGCAGATTACCTGTCCCTCCATTCATAGTTGGCAAAAAGCCAATGGGTATCCAACCAAGTTGCCAACTATGTGAGGCGAAAAGCCAACATTTCAGCAGAAGTGAATGGTGAGACATGCTTTGGAGATTCAATGATGAGTCGGAGGTGCCGGATTCCCACGAAATCAGAGAATAGATCTGAGAGCTAACAACCACTTTATCTATTTCGAGAGCTCTTGAAAAAGTGAGCTAATAATTTCTTAAAACTAAAATTCACTGTATACCCCGTGGGACATCCTTAAGCTATTGTGTCTGATTACAATGTTCTATGCTCCTTAGAAAAAGTGTCTTATGTCTCACAATGTCTCACTTTGTCTACCAATGTCTCACAATGTCTCACTTTGTCTACCAATGTATCACTTTGTATACTAATGTCTACCAATGTATCTTTTTGTCTACTAATGTCTACAAGGTACTGTAAAACAGTACAAAAATGTCTGACAATGTCTCACTTTGTCTGCCAATGTCTACCAATGTCTCACTTTGTCTACTACTAATGTCTACTAAAGTCGCACAATGTCTACTATGTCTCCTAATGTCTCCTAATAACGTAAATCTTTTCAACTGTCTGTAGACATTTCCATAAGTCAAAGGATCACTTTATTGCCAAAACACAAACAGACAAAATGCCGAGTAACCCTGGTAGCCCGTCCATAAATTTACCCCGTCCTCGAGACATTTGCTTGGCTTTTCCCAGCGCGTGGAAGTTCTTCCGTTCTTCCTCCTTCGAGGCGTAAGCCAGCTGAGGTGCTGATGAGGTGGTGGCAACGTTCGATTTCTTCCATGCCACCTCTCTCCCATGCTGGCCACAAAGTCGAAGACGCAACTCTCTTCCAATGAAACAGTACCCCAACAAGCTACATGTACTGTTCCTAGCTTCACATTTATTTACTTCATTGTCTCTATTGTTTTGCCATGCCTTTCTGGAGCAAGAGTCCTCCCCCTCAAGAAGAACAACCGTCCAAACCCCAGCCTCCTTCTTTTGCCAATCTTCATCCACAGGTGGCCACTGGTAGCAGTAACAATAAGCACCAAGGATTGGGCATTGGTCGAGACTCTCAAGTTCCAGGTACGAGTAGTACTGCCGTCATTACTACCAACGACCTCGACACCAAGGGAAACTCCAAGCTATATACAGACTGTAAGGCGGAATATCTTGCCAGCATCAACTGTCGCTTGGAACACCACGACCACAAGACCACCAACGTCTGTCAGCCATTTTTTGACGAGTACAAGGCCTGTCGCAAAGAAGAACACCAACGTATTCTAGAAGAAAATGCCAAGAGGTCAGGTTGGTAATCCAATGGATTGTCACTATTATTCACGAAACGAACAAAGCAACGCTACTACCAGCATGACAAAGAGTTCCTGCTGGCATCTTGGGGTCATTATCTTGGCTCTATTGGCAACAGTATCTACTGCTTTCCAACCCAGTACTGCCCAAAACCCACGCTCCTTCCAGTTATCCATGACTACCAATGGTGTCAATGCCAACCCACCAACTGAGTCTCTATTGATTACCTTCGACTTGGATGACACTATCTTTCCCATTAAACCGGCCGTTGAAGAAGCCAATGTGGCACAACTACGAGCCATGAAACAATTGGCAGGGTATCCCGAGACAACCATGGAACAATGCATGGTCCAGACACGAGCCATTCGACAAACACTCACACAACCCATTACCTACACGGATCTGCGCAAGGGAGCCATTCGGGCCGAATTGGAGCGCATCCATGGCAATAATGATGATGTAGCACAGCAAGTAGTGGAACAATGCTTTGATGCCTGGCTACAGGAACGACATGCTTCGGCAGAACGACACTTGTTTCCCGAAACGATTCCTGCCTTGCAAGAATTACAATCCACATTGGGCCAAAAGTACAATCTCTGCATGGCGGGAATCACTAATGGACGAGGCAATCCACTTTGTATGCCCAGTACGGAACCGTTCTTTCAGTTCTGTGTCAGTGGAGAAGATGCCAATGTCTTTCCGCATCGAAAGCCGCATCCGAATATTTACAAGGCGGCGTTGGAACAATGGCAACAGCTTGTGGAAGAGGCAATGCCCACAGTTTGGATTCATGTCGGGGATTGCCTGGCAAATGATGTGGGTGCCAGCAGTGACGTGGGTGCCAAGGCCATTTGGGTGGCACCGAGCGAGGAGCCTGAAGACGGAGAACAACCGAGTTGGTCGACGGCCACAGCAAAAGACTTGAAGGAACGAGCGAAATTGATGGAAGCAGCACGATCCAAAATGAGTGGCAAAGTGACCAACTTGTCACAACTGACGACCGTCGTGCAAGATATCGTCTCCAAGGAACTGGCTGCTGCCGAAACAGTCCTAAATTCATAAATATATTATGACTTGTCTACTTTCATGCCATGATCGTTGTACCGTTGTAGTTCTCCAGAGATTGGCAGATGAAGCAAAAACAGGTAGAAACTCAAAGGAGGAACTCTGCCGTACAGGAAGAAGCAATACCGGTATGACCGCACAGAGTTGTTCTGTGTTCAATGACTAAAGTGCGAGAATGCACAAATTATCTGGCTCTTCATGGAATTCAAAGCTCAGATAGGTGCCGGTAGATAGGTCAACAGAGGATAGGCTGGTATTAGTTTCTATCCATCTAGCCACCAGAATAGTAGTGTAGTGGGCGGTTTACTATGGCACAAATCGACAATACTTATTTATGCAGGTTACCAAAAAAGGAATATTGTGGCTAAAGAAGAGGTCAAGGTCCACATCTCAATTCACATGCACCGTATTAGAGACCCTGCACTTTCCATTCTAATTATCCCACTCAGTCCCATTCCGCGGACGCTGACAATATGACACATGTACCGTATCAATCCAGGATAATTAGTCAATGGCAAGCGTAGATTGATTGATTGATTGATTGATCTGATTAGTTCAGGGAAATCTCCCTGCTGATTATATTCTGCTCATCTCGAAAAACCAAATGATATCTATATCATGCACAATGAATGAATGAATTAAACGATGGATCGTTTGGAAGGTTGATCTTGTTCAATTCCCGTGGATACATGTGTCAATTCCGTGGCTTCTTCAAAGAGAAGGTCGTGCGGTGTTTGTTGTTGTTGTGTGGATGATGGTGGCACATAGGCTTGTGCCATGTTGACTTCTTTAGATGGCATAATACCACTACTATCTCCTTCCAATTTGCTGTTGATATAGGGCGTCTCTGGGACGCGCATCAAAAAGACATGTCCGGGTAGCATGTGATCGGGTACCTGGGTGGTGACCCATCGATCGCCGTGGCGGACCAACATTTCCTGTCCGGGTCGGGCATTCCAGGGCACCGTCACGGCCACGACACCCTTTTGTTGGAGGGCGGATCGATCCACGGCTTGCAAGGCATTCCCGCCCGTCTTGACAAAGACGGTATGGGAGGGAGCCGAAACACCGTCGAGTGGGCAAGGACGATTGGCAGGATAGTCGCGCCAATCACGAGCTTCTGCGCCTTCTTCTTTGGCGACGGGCCAGTAGTGATTCCAAAAGGTGGTCATCTTGTTGTTGTTATTTGTTTGTGTGTGTGTGGAACGTAGATTGATGGAGGTGTTCGCAGTTCGCTAAATTGAGGTAGTTCTTCTGAATGAATTAATGTGGCTTTTGTTCTTTTGAATCTCTCCACTCGTAACTCGTGCTTTCTTTCTTGTTTGCTTTCTTTCTTGTTGTTGTTGCTTGTTTTATGCTACTTCTATCGTATCAAAGCCAAAGCTCCGGCTGCTGGTGATGGTTAGATAGATAGATCGTTGCGGAGTACGAGCAAATGCTTGTTCTTCTCGATCCCACCGTGTTGTTGATCTTGCCGTTGTCTTTCGAAGTTTCAATCAATCCTGTCTTCAACGAGTCACGGAAACAAAGGAAGACGAGCCTCCAAATGTTTTGCCTTCTCACAAAATGACGTCATCACCACCTCCATCCTTGCCTTGAAGTCTGTCTTCCTTGGCCTCTGCCTCTCTCTTTGGCCACTGATCTCCCATTGCCATCGTGCTCTTTAGAAGAGCAATACATGCACGACGAAAATGATACGAGGAAACTTTTCTCTCTTGTTGTTGGTTGCGATTGGAGTCTTGTCAGCGGAGGCGTTCGCACCAACAGCATCATCCAGACTACTATCTTTCTCGCAATCAGCCTTACTTGCCTCCAACAATGATGATGACTGGATTTCCCTGACAGACGACCATGCCGTTCGAAAACGAATCCTACAAGCCGGTACCAGTACGGGTGACAGCGACAACATTGGCCAGTTCTCTCAAGTGACACTGGATTACACCGGCACACTGGGTGAAATCGATTGGGATACCGACGGCGTCATTGACTGCTGGTTGTCGTCACAACAAGGAATGGATCATCTCGTCGACGCAGTGCGAGACGCTCAACTAACGGCCGCCCAACTCTTGGACGAATCCTACTTTACGGAAGACTTTGTGGCGACCACCTTGGGTGTTTCCAACAATAAGATTCAAATAAAAAAACTCGTCATGGCGGCGAAACGATTGCAAAAGGCCGTCCAAGACTATCCACCCGGCACCGTATTCGATTCCAACCAGGCGTATACCCTGAAAAAGGGCATTCGTGCCTTTCAGTTGGCAGTGCCATCCATGAAGGTGGGAGAACACGCCCTCCTCGAGTGTCGGGCCGATTATGCCTATGGCAAGGAAGGATTACGACGAGCCAATGGGGATGTCATGGTGCCGGAATACGCTACACTCTGCTTTGATCTGAAGGTACTCAGCTATACTACGGAGTAGCAGCTACAGTGTCACTCCTGGGCTTTGTATAATATCATTTTTTGAATTTATATATAGTTTCTTTTACCAATATCGGGCGTCTATGGTTCTTGCTCCCCCGCTTGTGTATATCGGCGGTACTGTACGTATACGTATTAGAGTTGTAGGGTTTGCGGCAGCTCAGACTGTTGAGTCTCTTCGTTTGTGCGCTTCCCTGCCTTTTTTCTTTGCTTATTACTTGTTTGTTCTTTGTTCATTCACTATCCATTGGTGACAACCAACACGGTCCGACATTCATTCCCCTTTTTTAGTCCATTGAACCAGCCAGTCTACCGGTAGCAATGTGGCTGACTGTCTAATTAACGACGTAGCTAGGTCTCACTTTCACTGTTTCCTCGGTGGCGCAGCATTGGCATTGGACGAGACACGATTTATCAAATCGTCGTCTTGTTGTTTCCTCATCATACGAGCACACATTTGAAACTTGTCTTGAAGTTGCTTATTGGCCATGCATTCACCTTGCAACTCGTCTCGGTGGAGTTCCAGGGCTCGTCGAGCGGCGGAGAGGTCAAACACGTCGGATAACCCACTGGTGCCAGTGTACAGTTTTTGCAGTTCAGTTCGAATGTATCTGTGGAAGTCATCGACGAATGGAAGCATGAAGTAACAATTAAACTTGGTAATGACTGCTCTGCAAAACTGCTCTCGCCAGTGGTTGACAATGTGTTGGACCAGACCGCCAATGACAATGTTGGTACGGTTCGCTTGTCGAGTCATGGAAGCCTCCTCGATAATTTGAACCAGGTTGTTGAAGTCACGATCCATGGCGTGCGGGTCATGAGGCGCGACACTTTTGGGACTGTCAATGGGAGTGAGAACGGCATTGTTCCCCTTCCTTTTCTTATTGTTGCTGTTGTGGGACTTGCTTTCATCCCGTTCTGCGATTGCCTTTTGTTTGACAGCCACTTGATATACGGCAAACAGATTCGTTTGGTCCGGCAAGGAGCGAGTGATGGCGCCCACACCTCTCTGATCCAGATTCCAAGTCACGTATTTGGTAATGGCGTTGACGTCGTCCTTGCATTGGAGTATTACCTGTTCAGTTGTGTGTGTGTGTTGTCGTGTTTTATCAGAACAGGAGCCAGCAAATGCCTCAGTGAACAACAGCCCCTAGTCTAAATCAATTCTCCATGCAACCAATCAACTTACCTTGTCTGCACATTCCTCTACAAAGTTCTCGAATATAGATCGGACCAACTCACGAAACTGTGGGTTTTGGGAGATATCCATGGCCTGTTCAGCCCTGTCAAGAAATGCATCATCACCACCACTTCCATCCCCAGTGACGCGCTTTCGAAAATTTGATAGCTTGCCTCGATCTCGATCCTCTCGCAGCATGTATTCCGTCACAGAGCATAGGCGAGTCATGACGTGAGTCATGCGGACCACCAAGGTGCCCAGCATTGGTTCAAATGATTGTCGAGCTTTTTCCAGTGCAATGACACAGGCGGCGTGCAAGAAGTTGACTCCGTCATGCGTCGTTCCCACACCGGCAGCGTTGGCAATCTCATCCTCTGTGATTAGAGGTGTACGCAAACACTTGGCAGCAAGGGTAAACTCACGGAGAGAGCGATGGTACTGAGCACCACCATAGAGACGATGGTCTCTGTTTCCAACTTCGGCATCAACCAACCGTTCCCAGGTTCGATCCGAAACCGCCATTGGGTAGTTCTTGACATCTGAAGGGAAACAAAAAACGAAGATGGCAAGGTGAGCCAATGGTTGTATTGGAAGGTGAAGCGTAAAACTACAAAAATACTCACTGTGAAAAGACCCAGCTGCAGCAGCCTCTTGTCCCAGAGTTTCACCAAAGATGCTTGCTGGCGCCGTGATACTACCTGCCATTGCCTTTTGGAGACTCTTACAGAAATCATCGCAAAATGCCTCGGCGCCTTCTTGGAGGCGAGCCACAGACAAGGCTTCCAATTCTTTTTCACAAGCCTTGAGTCTACGTTCGGCAGCATTGTGCTCTGCTTGCAACATGGGAATGATTTTGTTGACGTTTCTACGATAGCACTCGTCCACACGCTGTTCTAGAAAGGTTCGCAGCTTTGCCAGACCAATCTTGGATGTGATGGCCGCATTCGTCACCTCGTTGGAATACTTCATTCGACTGAGTCGCTGCACCACAGATCTTCGGTCAGTGTTTTCGGCCTCTCGGCAGGTTGCGACAAAGGCTGAGTCGCTGTTGTACATGTAATTGCTTTGGTCTAGCAGACTACCACCATCGACTCGTCCTACTCGCCCACTAGGCACGGACGTGTAGAACGGACCACCCAGCCGATGAGGAGAAATCCTGTCTAGAATCTGTGCCCTGAGGAACTCTTCCACATCAGATGGTGTCCCGAATTGGGGTAGTTTGGTGTCAAACTTTGTATTGACAATGACAGTCCGAGATAGATCAGGGTCGGCTTTTTGCACTACTTCTCGGGTAGCTCCATGTTTCCAATCACTCGTATCCTCCACACAGAGAATAATATAGTCCTCACATTTCATCTTTTCAATGACAAGACGTTCCGCCTCCTTGGCCGATGCCTGAAGTGCTCGTTGCTGTGCCATGGCAGTACTGGAAGATGTCCGCCCTTTGGGAGTTCGGGGAGCCGATATCAACCCCGGTGTATCAATCAAGATCATGTTGGGACAATGTTTGTATTCCATTCGAATGTTGATTTCGCGTGGATCAAAGGATCTCATGGGGTCTCGTTCGAGTCGTTTGTTTTCCCGTTCAATCAAGTCTTGAATATCTTTCAAGCTCATGGGCCGTTCCACCCCATCATCACCCACCAGATACCATTTTGGTGTGGAGCATTTTGGATTGTATTGCATGCGCAGGGCCACAGGTCTGCGTGTTTTGGTCCCTCCTCCCACTTGATTGAATTGAAATCCCATTAATGCTTCGATGAGAGCCGATTTTCCGGACGACTGATGACCAACCACCACAACGGCAGGAGCGTCGAATGGTTTGGCATATTCCTTTGGTTAGAAAATGAAATCATTATCATTCAATAGCCATAATGAAGGACGGAGAAAGAGGAAGGAATGAACAGAAATAAATTAGGTTTGCCAAAAAACAGTTCAGGTTTATGAGATAAGAGCTTGCACATCTTATTTTGAAACTGCATGTTTGCACATGAACAAGTTGCAACTTACTTGTGCCAATGTATGTAGTTGATTGTAAGCTTCGTACATGGTTTCCTTGCTGTCGGCTGGCATATCCCCCAGAAAACTCGAACGAAACGAGAAAGATGATCTCTCATCATCGTCGTCGTTACCAAAACCATCCCGATCCTCCATATCCTCCATTCCTTTTCGCCTATTACTACCGCTATCATCTGAAAGATAATCCGAGTCCGAATAGTCACCACTGTCAGAGTCTGGAAAGGAAGGATTCCGGTCCCCCAGTTCCCAGTCATTCGATCTCATGCTGCTGGGAAACTCATCGGCTCCTCCGCGGGGATATGTGAAACCATATGCCTGATTCAACCATAGCGGGGCAGATATCAAGAGGAATCTGCGTATTGTTGGTACATTACTTTTCATTGCCATTATCCTCATTGTTGCATCGTTGCTTGCTAGCTAGCTAGAGAGAATGGATCAATTCATGCGATGGTGCGATGAGGAAGGGTAGCAAAAGGTATTTCCCATGCTCCTCCAGCCTTCAGAACACGAAACAGGGAAAGAAAATATGGAGGAAGCTCCGTTATCCAATTGTCGCTCGGCGTGATTAAGTATATTTTAGTTACATAGAGAGCGAGGGAACCTTTGAATTCGTGCTCTCCTTGTCCAAAGTCGAGTCGAGAGTCAAGTTTGAGTCGTCCGTCACAAAAGAGCAACGTGGCAACCAACCAGGTTGGTTCCTTGATCGAGCCAATGACATGACAGGTGTTGAATCGAAACTTCTAGCTCTAGTAGACTACTCCGGCCAGCTACGGTACTAGTACCAGTATGCCATACGGTAGGTGGTACATGTACAACGTACATGCAGGTACGGCGGTTCCCTTCGGCGCGACTAAAAAGCTCGATGGCATCATGTCACCGCGAATGCCATACCGTAAATATCCGTTTTTCAGTTTGTGGGCCTCCTCACACAGCACGGCAACCCATGGGAGGTGAATGAAGAATCGAGAATCGAATCATTCGCTCAAATTTCAAAAAGCCAGTTCATGGATTGAGCCCACGGTACTGGTACCGTACGGTAGGCTGGTGGCACCGGTGCGTACCGTTCCTTGAGGCTTCCGTACTAGTCTAGCTCGGGAGCAAAAGCTGCACTAACCCATGAATGGTATGGCAGCACAGTCTGTAAAAGCTTTTCAACCTCATGGAAATTCCATTATTATTAGTCTACTTATCTCAGCACTCGCAAGACAATGCCTGGAGCCCTTTCACTCACTCCAAGGCGCGACTGCGTTTTCAAGCTCTTTTGTGATGGTGCTCTGGGATGCTTATCCAGCTCTGCCATTTTCAAATTGAGTCTGATTCGTGGTAAACTGTATCTTTCTCAAATAATGACCATGGCAGGGACAAATGACCCAGAAGCACAAAAGATACCGACGGTTCTCATCCTGGCGGAGGGACAGGCTCAACACCACGAGGCCAACAACACTGCAGAAGCGATTGGAAATCTTGAGAGAGCAGAGACTACCAAAACGCATAGATACTTGGACTGCTGAAAACGTGAACTCCTTTATCATTGTGCTCAGAAAATAGCATTCGGTAGAGATAACGATATTGTTTGTTAGCTCTCTATTCATCCATTCAGCTTTGTTAGAATCAACCCACCATGTCCGCAAATCCCTTGGCCGCCGGTTCCGACGTGAACCCGTTGAAGACGGACCCTGATCTTCAGGCGCTGCTGAAACGGCTTGACGGTGTTAAGAAGTACAAAACCTTCCAACGATGGAAGAACAAGTTTTTGGACCGTCTGGAACAGTTCCTGTACGAAAAAGGAATGAAACCAGCCGATAAGGCTTGCAACGAGTTCGATGCTCTCCTCAAAGGGTTTGTCAAGAGAACCAACAAAGTCCAAGAACACATTGAAAAGGGTGACTTGGGCGAATCCAAAAAGACGGTCAAGGCGGCCCTGTCGCTGAACGAAATGTGTTCCAGTCTTCAAGGAATCGTTGAAGCTATTGACAAGGTGATCCCCATGAAGAGTTCCGAAGAAAAGAAGCGTGGATTTTCCAAGTTCCATCTGGGAGCTACATTGATTCGACAAGGATTCCATCAATATGTCACCATGAAGGCTATTGAGGACGCCTTGACCGATATTGGAGACAAGTTGGTCGATGTCGCCGATCGACAGCAGCATGAACTCTTTGCGGAATACAGAAAATCCGTACAGAAGTTTTGCGATGTCATGGCCGATCTGAATTTGTACGAAGTCATGCTCAAGTGTATCGAATTCCTCGAGGCTCCCGAGGAAGAGGAAAGTAGTGACGAAGAACCCGTCACTATTAAAATCACCATTGATACACACGATGGAAAGAAAATTACTCTGGTCCTCGATCCAACCGATACTGTTGGAAACGTCAAGGCGGCCATTGCCGACGGATGTGGCATCAAGCCCAACAAGCAAATTCTGAAATTTCTTGGCAAAGCTCTGGACAATCCCGATGCAACACTTGAATCCTGTGGAATTACGGATGACTCCAATCTGACAGTGGAGCCATTCAAGGTTCCAGTCACCGTCAATACCATGGATGGCAAGTCCATCAAGGTCATGGTCGACCCATCCGACCGACTGTCGGATATCAAGATTCAATTGGAGGAGGAATCTGGAATCCCCGCCAAGAACCAGACCCTCTTTATGGGTGGGGAGGAACTGAAGGACCCCAACAAGACGGCTGCTGATTATGGCATCAAGGCTGGCAGTGTCTTGGATTTGGAACCCAAAACCATGAATATTTCTGTCAAGACACCTGACGGAAAGACAATCAAGGTGGCAGTGAAACCTTCAGATACCGCAGAGGAGATCAAGGCAAAGATTGCGGCGGAGGCAGGAATGAAGGTAGCCCAACAAGTCCTCAAGCATGGAGGAAAGGAGATGAAAGATGGCACAACCGTCAGGGACATGGGCATCACAGATGGTTCAGAGCTGACTGTGGATATTCACAAGGTCCCTGTCACTGTCAACACCATGGATGGCAAGTCCATCAAGGTTATGATTGATCCAACAGATCGACTATCGGATATCAAGGTACAATTAGAGGAAGAATCTGGAGTGCCTGCAAAGAACCAAAAACTGTCAATGGGCGGAAAGGAGCTGACGGATCCCAACAAGACTGCAGGCGACTATGGAATCAAGGCTGGCAGCGTTCTGGATTTGGAGCCCAAGGTCATCAAGATTAATGTCAAGACACCAGATGGCAAGACGATCAGTGTGGAAGTAAATGCCAATGACACAGCGGAACAGGTCAAGGCAAAGATTGCCAAGGATGCTGGCATGTCGGTAGCTCAGCAAATCCTCAAACACAACGGCAAAGAATTTGCTGATGGCAAGACTGTCAAGGACATGGGCATCAAGGATGGATCTGACTTGACAGTTGACATTTTCAAGGTCCCCGTCACTGTTAACACCATGGATGGCAAGAGCATCAAGGTCATGATTGATCCAACAGACAGACTTTCAGATATCAAGGTACAATTGGAGGAAGAAACTGGATTGCCTGCAAAGAACCAAAAATTGTCAATGAATGGTGAAGAGCTCACTGACCCCAACAAAACTGCAAAGGACTATGGCATCAAGAAAGGTTCTGTTCTTGACTTGGAGCCAAAAGTCATCAAGATTAATGTCAAGACGCCAGATGGCAAGACTATCAGTGTGGAAGTAAATGCTAATGACACAGCCGAACAGGTCAAGGCAAAGATTGCCAAAGATGCTGGCATGTCGGTAGCTCAGCAACTCCTCAAACACAATGGCAAAGAATTTGCAGATGGCAAGACAGTCAAGGACATGGGCATCAAGGAAGGATCTGACTTGACGGTTGAAATTTTCAAGGTCCCTGTTACAGTGAACACAGCAGATGGCAAGAGTATCAAGGTCATGATTGATCCAACAGACAAACTTTCAGATATCAAGGTTCAACTGGAGGATGAAACCGGTGTTGCAGCGAAAAATCAAAGATTGTCGATGAATGGCCAAGAGCTCACCGACCCGAACAAGACTGCAAAGGACTATGGCATCAAGAAAGGTTCTGTTCTTGACTTGGAGCCAAAAGTCATCAAGGTCATGGTTGAAATGCCCGACGGAAAGAAACAAGAGGTTGAGCTGTCATCTTCGGATACCGATGCCGAGATCAAGGCAAAGATTGCAAAAAAAACTGGTATGGCTGCACCCCGTCAGGTGTTGAAGGTCAACGGGAAGGAATTGCCCAAAGGCAAGACTGTTGGACAGATGGGAATCAAGGATGGATCAGACCTCAAGGTTGACATTTTCAAATTGCCCATCACAGTGAAAACACCTGACGGCAAGACCATTAAATTGGGAGTTGAACCGGGCGATTCTGTGGACAAGATTAAGAAACTGATCGCAGAGGAGACTGGCATGGAACCAAAGAAGCAGCTCCTGAAGCTGAACGACGAGGAGATCAAGGGATCGAAAACAGCGAAAGACCTTGGTATCCAGGCAGGAACCGAGCTTGTTCTCGAGGAGCAGGAGGATCCAATTATTTTTGTCGACTGCAAATCCGGAACGCTTTTCGCCATGGATCGAGACGATGTGATCAAGAAGGAGGCTCTCAAACCACACCAAAACAATAAACTCGATTTCCTGGAAGCCGCTAAGGACTCTGCCACGAAAGATCGAATTGCACAAGCCATGAAAGCTTCACCAAAACTGGGTGTCTCCGCCCAGGTGGTGGTAACTGCTTTGGAAGTTCAAGAATACGACTTGGAAGAGGCAGAAAAGGTGAAGGGTGTTTTTGGCGTGAGTCTCAAGAAACGAGAAAAGAACAAAGCAGGCGAAGAGTTTTTGTTCGTTGACCCCAAGACTGGAGCAAGCGGCGAGTTGTCACGAAAGAAGTACATTGACATGAAATTTATCACGCCGGATGGAGACACAATCAAGGAGCGAGAAAAAGACACTATGCAGTACGACAAGTACATCCTGTTGGTTCGTCAGGTAATCGGCGTCAAAGAATTCAAGTAGAGGCGGCATGCATCGTCGTGACCCCACATCCCTCCCCGGCAGTATACAAACCGTTGTCTTGCAAAGAGACGTCGGAGGGTTCCAATTTGTTTTGTAGCCACTAACCAGTAGCATATTTGTGACAATGGTCTTTCGTTTGTGTTGCCCGGCCGTTGATTGATGTGACACTAGTATGCAGCGACAATTTGCTTGCGGTATGTGTCGACTTCGAAGAGATGGAAGGTTAGACACGCCGTAATACGGTGCGGGAGGCTGCCCAACCTTGCCTGCTTTGGTCGTAAAGCCGGTTGTGGCTGTCCGAGATTTGAAAACTGCCGGTATCGTTGGTGGCTCGTGACGAGAACGAGTCTGAGTCGAAAGTTTGTTCGATGCACTACAGTGTACTTGAATCTGTAGTTCCGAACATTGTGCTACTACGTCTGATATCAAACTAATGGGAGGTAATATGCTTGCTAGCTTTAGCTACGTGGTTTTTGGGATGCTACTGTAGTATTGTGTTTGTTGTCGGTTTAACAGTGCAGTAGGTTTAAGGGAAATCGGGGAAGACCTTGAAATGAACGAACTTGACACCAATGTAGAAGGATGCAACGAGAACAAGATAGCGACCAACGAACAAGTCAAAGGCCTCGAGGAATTCCCTCAAGAACTGTCAAACACGGAGGGAAAGCACAAGTTAGTAACTGCGTCGTGCGTTCTGTCAAGATATAGTTAGCGTGCAAGTTTTTCCTTACCAATGCTGTTTTTCCAACGAGACGGACAGTTCCACTCGTCAGCACAATAAGCAACGTGAGGGGGCTGGACAAGTCTACCAGCTCTTCTTCTTTCTGGGCTTCCAATACTTCATCGGTTGGACCCAGCAGTCTTGTCTTGAACGGTCCGAAACCAATATCCAGTGTCACAGGCCGTCCAAGTGCTCTATCGTAGAAGAATCCTCCAAATGTTCGGGATGGATAACCCACCTAAGTATTACGATAAACCCAAAAAGTACAGAGCAAGGTTTTAGTGACTCGCAAGCAGCCAGCAGCGCAAAACATCGAACAAGCTATCCCACACTCAAATGTCGCCGTGCTGTCTGTGATTACCAAAGCAAGCACCAAACTTACCAAGAGATCAAAGTAGGTAATGATGACAGTCAAAAGTTTGGTGGAACCAACCAGAATGAATGTCGTTGCCAGAGCAAAGATGGATCCGGCCAAGAAGGTTTCTACCGTTTCGTGGAGCGGCAAGATCCAGGAAACTCCATTCTCTTGGATAAAGGGTCCCACGGCTTCATTAAAGAAAGATTCCACCACGCAAAGTTCCAGTCGCACTCGCAACAATCCACCAGCAATCAAGGGTCCGTATTCGATAAACTTTTCTCGTCCCACAATGGCTTCCACGGAAGTTTGCAATAGGCGATAGAAGCCATCACTGGCAGGACAAACCGGACTAAAGTTGTTGGGATTCATAATATCCTTGGAAATGATGGACTCGACGGCATTGGCCTTTTCGGCAGTTCCCAAGAGAAATGGAACTAGAGCGGCTGAAGACGCGGCTGCCCACGGACTCATGGGTTTGGCTTCGCTTGGCCGACAACGCTGCGTGGAGGCCTCGTCGTCGTCATCTTGGAGATCTCTCTTGGTCAACTGTCCATTGTGCTGAGAGGCGAGATTCAAAGGATCATAAGATGCCACATCTGCTTCTCGCTCCAACACAAGGGTCTTTCGGACAGCGGCCAATACGGTGGGCCGGGTAAAAGAGACTGGCGAATTGTCGCGACTGATTCCAAATTTCCCTCTGGAAGAAAGCCTTGCCGCCGCACGAAAAGCGGCGACTTGATCCTGTGCCAGCAAGGCGAAGACTACTGCTGCTGCGAAACGGTTCATGTCCAATATCCCAGCTATACCGGTACTGTAAGTGCAATGTGGTTCGGAATGGATGAAAGAGGAAGCAGAGTGGATACTCTTTAGAAGATCACCATGGCAAAGGCTCCAAACGGATGCCGAAGTGAAAGATTGGAGGCAGTTCGCTGACGTACATTTTCGAATCTTTCTGAGTCCCAGTGCTTCCAGGACTGGAAGTTGGCAGCAATTCCAAAGTCCGGGAGCAAGCAAGTGGTGGTACGTGCGATTTACACGGTACAGCCGCACAAGCTACAGCTGTACCGTAGCCAGCAAGGAACCGGGGTGTGAGTCCACAGTATGGAGTGCCGATCGGCGGCGCTAGCTCGGCAGAAGCATTTACTACCTAGAAGAACCAGGCTACTTTAGATCCAGCTAGCTAGACATCCCAACTCTGTTTCAGATCAATAGTGGAGATCAATCCTCCAACTCCTTCTGGGCTTGCTTTTCCACTTCCAGTAATGTTCACATTGCCAGATATCTCTGCAACCTCCTTGGCCCTAGCGGGATCGTCGTTTGCTTTCAGTCTCTCCTGTTCAGTCTTCTCTTTCTCTGCATCATTCTCCTTTTCCTTATTGTCCGCACTCGTAGTTTCTGCCTTGATTGCCGCTTCTTCTGAGGTGTGCTGGTGGGGGATTGTTCCTCTGCCTCAAGCTTTTTGGTCCCAGCTTGATGATTCTTGCCAGGAGACTTTTGGTCAGGCTCTTTGCCTTCAGCATTGCTGTTCATCATGGGCAACACATGGACTCCATGCTTGGCCACAAAGGCCACAATATCTGATTTATCTTTGAGAGATAGCTCTTCCGTTCTAAGTTCGGCATGTATCAATGCCAGATCACAGCATTCGATTTGGTCTTGGCGGCATCAAGGGTAAAGTGTTGGTTGAACCCTGATCCCCCGATTGGGCGCTCTTTACGGGACAAGGTGCGGTGGACTTTTTGGCGCAGTACAAGTTTGAGGCCGCACTCTCAACAGCAAGCGGTGGAGTTGGGCAAGCAATCGGCTAGACAGGACGAACTGTTTGAGCACGTCACAGCGGAAGAACGAAAGGCATTCAAAACATGATCATGGCCTTTACTGTCGTGACCAGTATCATTTCTATTATGTGTTCTTGGATCAGTTTCTCATATTGTAAGGTGACATGACTGGACGATTGCTGAATTGCAACCACTAGCTAGGTAGACCCGCTCGGAACAAGCACGCATACCGACTTTTTTCTACACGGTCAATGCCCGCAGACCGCAGACACAATAACAATTGATGACATACAATGCATCGCGGTTGCAATGGCGAGACCTTCCCGAGCGACTGAGCTTCCATCAGGCCAACAGTGTTTGCGTCGTACACATTCAAGCCGCTCCGAGCTGGCGGAGGATTGTTTTTGCGTCAACAGTTCGGGATTTTAAGAGCGCATTTACCATAGTAATATTGCACGTCAGGGCGTTCTTGCTCGGGCGAGGTCAAGCCTATTATAATAGACTCTACGCACCATATTGACGGCATTTTGTTTGCAAGAGATATCCTTTTAAAACAGAAGAACCTGTCGATTCTCTTGGGAGTACATGTACACCGGTACGATAATGCTCTCCGGAGCACTGTCGTCCTCTGTACGCGTCCTATCAGCAGGTGTATGATACAGGCTAACTGACATGGTGTATTGAAGTCAATAGCTGAGGTCAGAAACAATTATGAGTTACATTGTACGGGATTGCCTCGGATTTGCATTGGTAAAAGGGATCTACATCTATCTATGTGACTGTCCCGCGAGCCGGCCAGTCAGACTGAGGCTCGGAGCGGCGGTAAGGCTGGAAGAAACAAGAACAGGGTACGCACTTTGATCCAACAGTTGGATCCGGAAGCAGTTGATGGTTGATGGGATGCTTCCTTTTTTTGTTGATGTCCGGACTGGGTATCTTTGGATCTTGGGGATCTTCTTTGGATCTTTGCCATCACCCTTGAAATAAATTTCAAAATCGACCCATCACATCGCCCATAATTTGAAACTAAAAGCTACACATATCATAGTGTTATCAAAAGTTGACGTCGTCTCTCATTACAAAATAATCATCTCAAAATGGTGCGTTTCGCAGTTGCTCTTTCCTTGCTGTCGGCAACGACAACAGCCTTTATTGTTCCATCCAAGCCATTGGCCTTCAAGATTCCTGCCACGAGCTCTACCACGGCTCTTGCCAGCGGCTGTCCTTTTTCGGGAGGAGTCGTCCTTCCTGGATATCCACCTGTCAAAGTCCAAGAAGAATACGCAGATGCCTTGGACAAGATCGATTGGGATGAAGTCAAGTCGGATCTCAAGTCGCTCTTTTCCGATTCCAAAGACTGGTGGCCGGCCGATTATGGTCATTACGGTGGACTCTTTATTCGCTTAGCATGGCATTGTACGGGATCCTACCGCATGAGCGATGGCCGTGGTGGATGCGACGGTGGCGCCCAACGCTTTGACCCCGAGCGAAGTTGGGATGACAATACCAATCTCGACAAGGCGCGCAAGTTATTGGAACCCATCAAGCTCAAGCATGGACTGGGTCTCAGTTGGGGTGACTTATTCGTCTTGGCAGGAACCATGTCCATTGAAGATATGGGTGGACCCTACTTGGGATTCTGTGGAGGAAGAATCGACATGGTGGACAATGCTCAAACAAGAGCCTTGGGACCATCGCCTGAACAAGAAGCCTTTGCCGAGTGTCCCGTTCAAGGAGATTGTCCAGCACCGTTGGGCCAAAATACATTGGGGTAAGTGTCGGAAACCAGAAAGCAATCAAGTAGCTGTACTGTTCATCCTCAATGTTCTCTCACGTTCACACCTTCATTTCCATATCTTTCTCATGACAGATTGGTAAGAACACACGGCTCCTAACTTATTGCCGCCATATTCATACGGTTTACTCACCTCACCCGTCCTTTATTCATCAGATTTACGTCAATCCCGAAGGGCCCATGGCCAAACCAGACCCTCAAGGTGCTGCCGATACCATTCGTGACGTGTTTGGGAGGATGGACATGGATGACAGGGAAAATGTCGCCTTGATTGGCGGTGGCCACACCTTCGGCAAGGCTCACGGGGCCAGCAAGTCGTCTCCTGGCGACTACCCCTACGAAAATCCTGCCAATCCATGGGACGGTCCAAAGGGAGATGGAACTGTCACGTCGGGCTTTGAAGGTGCTTGGACGGCGGCACCCACACAATGGGACAATGCCTATTTTAAGAATCTCATCGATTACGAGTGGGAATCACATATGGGACCCGGTGGACATTACCAGTGGCGCATCAAGGGCGGCAAGGGACCAAAGGCACCCATGGCACATGGCGAGGGCGACCAAGACCTGATGATGTTGACCACTGACATTGGACTGGTGACAGATCCGGAATACAAAAAGTACGTGGAGGAATTTGCCAATGACCCGGAAGCCTTTGCCCAAGCCTTTGGCGAAGTTTGGTACAAGCTCGTCAATCGTGATATGGGACCTGTGGCGCGTTGTGTTGGACCCGACGTGGCCCCAGCTCAAGCATTCCAGTTCCCCTTGCCCGAAAAACCGAAGAAGCTGGCCAACATGAACAAGGTTGCAAAAGATATCAATGCCTTGCTGGAAGATTCGTCTCCAGACGACTTTATTCGTTTGGCCACGCAATCGGCCAATACCTATCGTGCCACGGACTACCTAGGGGGGTGCAACGGTGCTCGCATCCGCCATTCTCCCGGCAAGGACTGGCCTGCTAATGCGGGTTTGGACAAGACACTTGCTCAACTTGAAGGAATCAAGGAGAGCCATGGCGATGGACTCTCCTGGGCTGATTTGATTGTCTTGGCAGGAAACAAGGCCGCGGAAAAACTGGGTGCTCCTGGTTTGCCCTTTTGTCCTGGAAGGACGGATGCGCCCGATGGTGATGGATGGAAGCCGGTGGAACACTTCAACAAGGAATTGCCCGCGACTGTGAAGGATGTTGTGGATCGATACCAATTACGTGGCTTGTCGGCCAAGGAATTTGTTGCTCTTCAATTTCCTTCCTATTCCAGCTCGGCGGCTCTCAAGGCGGCACTTGAAAGCAGTGACACTAGTGGTGATGTGACGGCTGAAGCCCTTCAATTCTATCCTGAACTGCGTACTTGGGCTGAATATTACGTCGCGTCAGGTGACAAAGTGTACGGCAATGATTTTGCCTCGGCGTGGACGAACTTTATGAACGCCGACCGCTTTGATGGACCTCTTGGAAACGAGTGCGAATTGGCTCCATAGTTCTGTACTATACCGGTACGGGAGCAGTAGACACGAAGGCATACAAGAAAACAGCGCCAGTCACTCCAACATTCACTGACACGGTATGTATTTCCTGCTAGCCAAGAGAAACCACAGGCTATGCGAGTCTAAAGGCTACACATACACATTCACAGCAACAACGAAGGCACAGACATGCTATGCATCCCTACTACGTAGCTACCTGGTAGCATTCATCATAGTTAATCATTAGGGTACAGTATCTTGTTATCAGGAATTACCGGCAATAGCTATGCATAGGACATCGAAGGACATTGGGCATAAGTTGCTATCAAAATCAAGGGGGGTACATGTTATCAAGTAGGGAGTCTCCTGGAGTACAGATAGACGGTGCTGATCGGTGGCTAGCCACTAGCTAGACAGGAGCATTTACTGCTTACTAGAATAACCAGGCCACTGACCCATTGCTCCTGGCTAGATGTCCCAACTCTGTTTCTACATCAATCCTCCGACTCCTTCTGGGCTTGCTTTTCCGCCTCGAGCAATATTGCCACATTGTCAGATATCTCTGCAACCTCCTTGGCTCTAGCGGCATCGTCGTCTGCTTTCTTTCTGTCCTTTCCAGTCTTCTCTTTCTCTGCCTCGTTCTCCTTCTTTTCCTGGTTGCCCTCACTCGTAGTTTCTTCTTTGAGTGCCGCTGTGGATGCAGTCTTGACCTTTTTCTTTGGGGGTGGTGTGCTGGTGGCTTGTTCCTCCTCCTTTGACCTTTTGGCCCCGGCTTGACGCTTCTTGCCAGGAGACTTTTGGTCTGGCTCCTTGCCTTCCGCATTGTTGTTCATCATGGGCAACACACGGACTCCATGCTTGGCCGCAAAGGCCACAATATCTGGTTTATCTTTGAGAGATTCATGCACCAGAGATAGTTCTTCCGTTCTAATTTGAGCATGTTTCAAGGCCAAGTCACAGCATTCGATTTTGGTCTTGGCGGCATCAATCTTGCGGGTCAAGTGTTGGTTGAACCCTGAGCCCCCAATTGGACGCTCTCGGTTGGTAAACTTGTATTGATCTGGATCCAGTCGGAAGCAATGGGCACACATGCACTTGGTTTCCTTGTGGCAAAGGACAGTGATATGGTCTCCCACATCCAGGAGAATGGGCCACCTATTCTTGTAGGCTTCGAGAAATAACTCGTCACTCAGTTCTTCCATCTTGAAGGGGCCGAGATTGAGCTTTTTCAGGTTGTCTTTGCCCTTGGCAGCCTTCTTCTTGGGAGGCATGGTTGGCTTGTACCGGTAGATACCGTCTGTGGGGAGATATCAATACTGTATTCAGAATATGGTAAGACGACAACGATAATGGAATACGGTATGCAGTGCTTACGTTATACAGTAGGAGCAGACACAATGATCTTATAACGGCAAGGTAGCACTTGCTTGGAGAGAAGCAGGCTCCTCTTCAGGCCAAGTTAGCAGTGCAGGACGATTGCAAGGTATTTAGCGCCTTCTAGATAGAAGGGGTTACAGATGTTTCTGTGCCTTTGATAGATAACAAGGAGCAACAAGGTCGTACGATACGCTCTCTGGTCTTCTTGCTGTCAGAAGATACGGTATTGCGTCATGAGCGGGAACGCCAAGTCATTAGCATTCTGGGATTGTGTTGGGAATGGATCCAAAAGCCGACAATGGCACAACGCAAATGTCGGCCCGCTACTACCACCCGCTACCGGTACGAACCTCAAGACCATACTGGGGCTGATCAGCGTCGTCTCCGGTGTCTCTTACCACAATTTTTCTGGCTAGTTAGTTTGTAGCCACCAGGCCAACAGTAATCGACGACCAGCATGACAACCCGCAAGAGTCGCAATGAGATTGGTCCATTGATTCTGCAGCTCAAGGAGGCATGTCGTCGTCCTCTGTTCACGGAAATAGTTCTGGATGAATCGAAACAGTCCAAGGAACTTCAGGCCATCAAAGAACAACGGCAGGATCCAGACTCGACCGCAATCTTGCCACCAGAAACGCAGAGTCTTCCTCAACCACTGTCGTCATCCTCTGCTTCCAGCAAGCAGCAACCCTCCAAAGATGCAACCGAAAAGAAAACATGGAGAGAAGTGAGTCTATCTGAGCCTGTTTTATGGCTGAGGCGGTGCTTTTGGATATCTCCCCCATGTTCCTAACTAACTGATCCTCTCATTTTCTGTCTTCTTTTCTTTCTTTGCTACCTTCCCTTTCCCCATCCTAATTATGCCCTATCTTTTAGCTGCTGAAAGAAGCTTCCACTTTGCTACCCTACATGACAGATGAGGAACACGGCGAAATATCTCATCTGGCTTCCATTCTTCTACTGGGATTCTTGTTGCCATCTTCTACCGGCAATGAGTACTTTCTCTTGCAACACTGCCTAGACGACAACCTGTCCAAACAAGATATTGCCACTGCTACAAACAAATACATTTTGGACATGAAATTGGAAGAACGTCTCGAGAATACCTGCCGCCATTACGCGGCATTTGAGTTTGGCGAATTTGACACACTCACCGATGCCACGTGGGAACTCGCCTTTGACTCCTTCCTCCACCAAGGGCTGGCACCCTTTCTATCGGGACGAACCGCACATTACCAACACGTGGACTTGTTCCATTTACTTGCCATGGCCATTCATCCACAACCAGTGGCAGCAGCAGAGTTGGACGACGACGACAAGTCCATGGCGCGTAGGTTCATGAACAATCGACACGCCCATTCCTTGCATGTCAATTACGGACACCGACTCAAGATCATCCACATGCTGATCCAGAACATGGTCCTTCCGGCTCATGATCCCAATCTACCCATGATACACTGTCCCTTGTTTGATGATGCTCTGCCACATTTGCGGGCATCCTTGCACACGTTTGCTCAGGGAGCCGTCTCCATGGAAGAGGCACACTTGGCACGAGCCGCCATGTTGACCATTGCCATTCAAAGCAACCTCGTAACGATGCGAAAAGAAGAATGGGATTTCTTGATCAATCGAATGGTCGATGATCGGACGCGCTATCCCGGTTGCCGCAAAGGTTGTCCACGAATGTTGAAGGATATTGGACTGACCGTTCCTTGTGATGATATCGACTTTTGTCCCCATGCAGGAAGAGGCCGTCACTTGGCAGAGTTTCTGATACGAACCTGTCAATCACGGCGTCGTGCGGACAATGTGTTTCTCCACGAAGCCTTTTCGTCCTTGACCGATGCTATTGAATGGCAAACGCACTGTTGGATGCAACCTGAGGATGAAGAACCATCGGATAGCGAGGAAACACCCTGTATGTTGGCTTCCTTGTTGTTTGCTGCCCGCGCCTTTTATAATTTCCTCCTGCCCGTGGAGGAGCTCAAGAACAGCATCGAGCAGCAAGACGAAGCTCTATTGGAAGCGGTTGGGAGACGCGATGATATCAAAGCCTGTGCCATCCAACTCTTACACCACTTTGACCCAACCATTGCAAGTCAAGCAGCCGAGCTGTTGTCCCTGGCGCTGGCATACGGCAAAAAAGAAACTACCACGGAATGTGCCCAACAAATCTACTTGACCCTTCAGGTATCTCTCGACAATCTATGCTCGAACAAAACGGAATGGAACCAGCAGCTTCAGTCGAGCCTCCGGAACGTTGTTTCGGCCACATCCAGATTGTCGCCATCCTTTGCTCTCTCGTTTCTCAACCTCCTGTACAAAAAGGTAAAGGGCATGGGACCCGTGAGTAGTGATGCTGATGACAAAGATGTGGAAATGAAGGATGCATCAGAGGACAAGGCGGCTACAAAACACAAAGATGACAAATCCAACAAGGAGCTGAAACGCAAAGCAACACAGAGACTCTACTTACTTCAGTTGGTATCCACTACTGCCATTGCAAACTCCGTCATCGCAGCGGGAAAAACAGACACGTTGCTGGAACTTCTCAAGGAAGAGTCTGAGGAATCATTACAAAGCGAGATTGTTGCAGCTCTTTTGGCTTGTCGGCAAGCGCGGTTCTTCGTGCAAGAAAAGGATCCTGCTCGCGATGCAGCACTCGGCGCCGTCAAGAAGATGAGTGATCGCTGGAGGCTGTATCAGGTTGCCCGTTTGGCCTTGAGGACTGGTAGTTTTGCGGTTGCTAGTCGCTGCTACGGGCAACTCCTCCAATCACCGTTGAGTGAGCGAACATTTCTGTGGATGAGCTCTCTTGCCAATATCTCCAACTGCGAACTGTGTCTGTCGAAGCATGCGGCCAAAGGGATCCCTTCAGCGACGATTTCCATGCGTGCTGCCATGTCCATGCTTTTGTCGCTCAAGGCGTTGGATGGATCGATTGACGCGGATTACAGCAGAACAATCAGCATTGTCAGTCTGCGGTTGGATTTTCTGGACCTGCTGACTGGACTTCGCCAACTGATTCGCGAAATGAGACTGACTGGGGTTGGACCAGTCAAGCGAACCAGGTCAATGATGCATTTCCAGAACATTCTTAGGTGTTTCGACGGCCTGGCCAACCGATACAGGCAGGTCTATCAGCGGTATGGCTTATTCTGTTCTCAGCAGTCGAGAACATCGTTCAGAACCCTGCATGCTCTCTGCCGGTTTGTGGCTCGGTCAATTCGATCGGTGTTTTCGGATGTCCACCCTTCACAGAAGAAAGAAGACAATCTGCGTTCAACCGGGCCGCAAGGTGATTCAGCTCTTGCCGTTGTACGGTTCATGCTTCGTGTCGACGATCAGCTGTTACAAAAGATGACTCCATCGACGGATCTAGTGATAAGGGCAGCAGCAATGCTCGAGGTTGTTGATGGAATCCTTCTCTGCCCACCGCCTTTCCCGCTTGAACTTCTTAGCGTCTCGCGTCTTCCTCTCGGCGAGATTCATTTGTCAGCCGACCCCGAGTATACCGGAATCGATGGAAGTGATGGGTTTCCTGACGGACAAAGGCCAGAGCTTGGTACCATCGAGTGCTACCCTGGCATCGCATTTGATTTCTATGCCACTGGGACGATTCCGGCATCGTTCCTAGCCAGCGCGAAGCTCTCCTTCTCGATAATCTTGCTGTGGCATAGGGCCAGCTACGTTGGGCCTCTGCAGGAAGACGAGCACATTGGCGACGAAAAGCAGGAGGACGAGGCCATGGCAGATGAGAAGCAAGAGGAAGACGCGGCTGCTGCTCCTCCTAAGGCCGTTCCAAGACCGTGGGACTACACACTGGCTTCCACGAGTATGCTAGTGAGTGGCAAATTCAGCTTTAAAGTGGAGTGCCCTCCTATTCGAGAAGAAGGAAACTATGTGATTGACGTGAAGTTGGGTTGTCGTGATGTAAGAGGAGGGGAATGGGAAGTTGCCATGAAGGATGAATTTCGGAAGATGAAGGTACAGGCAACTCGCTCGAGCTGGCATGGATAGATCGCCAGGTCTAAGGCACATAAAACCGGGTAGATCAAGATCGTAGAGCTCGCTTTTCTCTGTGAATTGTTGTTGTGTTGTTGATGGAGGACATCACTTCCGCCAGAATTGCTTCGGCTTGATGGACCTGTTGGGAACAGAATGTCTTGGTGGTTGACTCGGTTTACGCCACGGTTTGTCGGTCATATCATGAACTCGCTCGTTTACTTGCATTCGTCTTGTCATGCGCCGAAACCGCTTTGCAACCTTTTCTGGGATGGACTCTATCTCCCTGGGAAAACGCACCACAGGCTTGTCCACTAGAAACCGTCCGCCTTCCGGCAGTTCGAGAAGGTATAGGCGAGGGCCGAAGTAATAGGCCGCCGCTCCACCACCAACGAGACCACCTGGAAAAAGTGCCATGATGTGAGGAACCAAAGTAGGGACGGACACCAGGTATGTTTGCTCTTGCTTCATACCCATTCGTTCCTTGTTTCTTACTTACCCAAGTGCGCCCAATTGTCAATCATTGGACTCATACCGCCAACGACAAGGTTAAGCACCACAGTCTGCGACACGAAGATGAAGTGCAGGGATCAGAATTTGTGAGTATGCGAATAGAGAGAGGAAGCCTTGGGCTGATGCCCCGTGCACATTGCACTTCTTGCACAAGAAGCGACTGTCACTCTGCATACCTGCAGAATTGCACTCTGCATACTCTCACCCTGGCGGCCCAGCAACCAATCATTTCTTGCCAAGAAAACAAGCTGAGCACCAATGATACCAAAGACAGCACCGCTGGCTCCCAACCCAGGATTGGGGGACTGGTAGGCGGACACAACATTTCCAGCTACACCTGCTGCAAGGTAGGTGGACAAGTATCGACTAAAAGCCAAAGCAGTATCCGTACAGTGAGAATTCAAGTTAGGCACAAAGAATAGAATCAAACGCTGGACAAGAAAGTAGAATGTGATGGACTGGCTTACCCTGGTCCAAACAACTTTTCAACCGAAGGGCCAATGTTGTTCAGAGAAAACATATTCATGGCGAGATGCGGGATGTTACCATGCAGGAAGACGGGAGTTACTAGCCTGTACAGCTCTTCTCCTCGCAATATCTTGTCGCTCATCTTGACACCCATCTGTGTTACTCTTGGGATAAAAGTTTGCAGGGCAAAGCAGATCAAATTGACCTGTTGGAATGGAGTTCAGGACAGTGAATATGAGTCGAGCCCATAGAACCCACAAGCAAAACCTAAATCACCAGTCTGCTGTTATGCATCCAGACTTACAATGATCAACTTTGAACTCAAATTGTACTTTCCTGGTCTTCGTGTCTTGAAGTTTACATTCCAAAGCCGAGCCTTGGCGTCCGTCTTGAACTCGTCCAGGTCCATCCATTTCCCGCCGTAGTCTCTCCGAGATGGCGCTTGCCGGTACATGGATATGGGAATGGCTGTCCGATGGTTACCGCCGCTAGACGTCCATCCTGATCGACGAGTCCTTCTGCGCTGCGACGCAGGCTGACCCCACGATGGCCGTCCATACAGAGGATCGTGTGCCGAGGAGGGCGCCACACAGAAAGATGCCAGGATCAATGCCAAAGGTGCGAGGTGCTTCATGATACCGATGCAATGACTACCGTACCAACTCGTCCTAACTAATACTAGTAAGCTGCTTCTCTGGCTGCAACAATAAAATGGGCTCGGCTTGACTCTTCACTTATCTAAAAGTGGTTGCCGTTTCACAAAAATCTGTGAGACCTTCACACTTCACACAGACCTTCTACGGTATGCTCTCTGCCTTGTGTCTTTCTCCGTCGATGCTTGATGGGACATTGGTTTCAAGTTGATTGATGCCGACACGCCGACTGCCAACGACTGACGTCACGGAAGAGCAAAAGAATGTGAAGCTGTCAGAAACCAATAGCCCAAAGTTATTCTCTGTTTAATAAAAGAAGCGTTCTAATAAGTCTTTATCTATCTCTTTTCCATTACTAGTACAGCGTAGTCAGTACGGAATCGAATCAGTCACCAGTCTGCCTTCTCAAGCAAGGCTCTGGCTCTGGGTCTCTGAGGTTTGTACGGTACACCAGGGATGTACCGGTAGCTCTAGCTACATGGGGTGGCCAGAGCTGTCAGAAATGATTTGTGGGAATGGAAAATTGCTTGTTCTGAAAGCAAGCTGGCAGAGGTGCAGAGGTCCTCGATGGCTCTAGCTAGTCTAGTCATCATTCAAGCACCCTTCACTTTCTCGAGAGAGGGAGCTGCAGCATTACCAATTCTAGCTCGGAATGTGAAACTCACCCGGATCCAACAGACCACGTAGAAGACGGTCATGGAAATGGGAATAAAGGCGTCATAGAGGACATGGCCTCCGAAGTCCCTGATAAAACTTGAACACTGAGTGCTCTCAACCCATGCTAGAAGACCGAGAGGCAATGCTATCAGACAAGGAAACATGCTGTACTCAAAGCCTTTTGCTTCCTTGGGTTTCGTCATCTCATTCCAGGCAACCGCGCTCATTGCAATGGATTGAACGTAGGTGAAGCTTAGATTTACAGGGCAAAACGGTTGCAAGCAAAGAGCAACAGAGCCAAGGACTCCCAGAAGAGACCAGGATTTTGCTGGCATGGCGGCTTTCAGTAACATGACCCAGAAGACAAAGAACGCCGGAAACAGAATTGCGAGGATTGCAACATGGGTGGAGCCCATAATACCACTTTCCCAGGGACTTTGATCCATACGCATCTCATCCCCAATGAAACGAAACGTTGCCGACAAGGCTCCATGTCCAATGCCATGACCTACAATCCCTATGAGCTGATGAGTGCCTGCCAATTTCGTGGCTCTTTCCATTTCTGGTTGATCTTTCAATACTTTGAGGATAGAGTAGTGAGCCGCGGCCAAGATGATATTGGCACAGAAACACAAATCATGGGTCGACCAAAACCCGTTCTGATCACCGGTTGGGTCCTCCTCCTCGACTAGGCAGAAGCCTTGTTGTTTCCAAGATGGATCAAAGATACTGTCTCGATGAAAGCCCACGATGTAGGCAAATGCCAACGTATTGACCAATGACAAAGCATGCACTGTATCTCCTAGATTAGCCCAATTTGATGACATGTTGGCTGATTGATTATTTTGCTTGAGCGTATATGACAGGGAGGGATTTTGTTTGCCTGTATGGAGATGGCTGATCCTTTTATGAACTCTTTATTTCTTACTGTGTGATGCAGCTCTGGTCTCTTGCTTGTGCCCGTATCAAAGCTTTCATGCAATTTGCAAAGCTCTCAGACCGTCGCCCAGTGGCTAGATCGACGAACAAAGAATTTTTGATTTGCCGCTAGGATACCGGTACCCACGCATCCGACCATGGCTACTGGTAAGTACCAGGACCGGTGGTATGGTGCCATGAAAGGTTCATGTTCTGTTCAGTGTAATGGTTACAGGTAGAAAATGTGCCACTTACTGAGCCTGCAGAAAAGAAACTGTCCGGCTACCGTTACCATGGTACACAGTACATGTACCGGTACCGGTACGAGCTACCGTACGGTACCTGTCCACACATACTACGGGATTGAGTTTGAAACCTGACTCAAAGTTCACACTTTTCAGGACAAAGAATCAGCTACCAGTCACAAGACCTGTTACGGAACCAAATTAGCCTCATTGTTAAGATAATGTGTATGTTTTAAGTCTTCTTCATGTTCCCCTCTAAATCTTTGACCTGAAAGACACCATATTTTTGGATACCCAGCATTTTCCCCGTGTTTCCCCCATGTTATTTGCATCTGTCAACGTCCAAGCCATGAGCTCCATGATGATCGACGATCAACACTTTTATCCTAATAGTATGATGGAAACCATTATGAGCATACTGTAAGAAAACAAACTGCTACATTCTCTTAGAGGGTGCACTACTTTCAACTTCTACGGCTTTCATACCGAGGCTTCATTAGGAGCGGTGCTTCCAACAATATGATCAAGAGTGCCGACAGAATTGCCGATGCTGTTGCCGATATCAGTATCAGTTTCGGTGACCGATAGCTAGTCATTTTAATACTATGGTAGTATCGACTGCTTGTTGTTGTTGCCATAGCGGTAGCAGTCTCGGTTGTCGTTCGATCGATCGTTCGTTCGATCGTTCGTTCGATCGTTCGTTCGATCGTCTTGTTGTTGTTGACACTGTTCAGGAATCCCAGGAAGTAATTTATTCCCTGCCACGCTTCCTTTTCTCCATTGGTATTGCCGCCGAGGAATGTAGAGTTGGTTTTGGCTTATGAAATGGCTTCCTTCACCGCCACTAATGCCCGAAAGTCAAAAATCAAGAGAAAACGGTAACCTCCAGTTTATTATCCACTGAGTAACTACACAGCCACAAAATGGACTGCGACGGTCATGTTCATATTGGCAAAGTAGGTATGGGGAGTACCTTCTGAATGTTACCACGATAGTGACAAAGTACATCTACTTTAGAGGAGGGAGGTGTGACAAGAAGAAATAATTGATGCTGACTTGTTTTTAATGTGGTGTTGTTTAGTGGTGCTTATCACTGAGCTTACCACGGGTGCATCAACCGCCGGTACTGGTACCTTACTGAGTACTAGTACTGCGCAGCCAGCAGTTGGTTCAAAAAGAACTGTTCTACGGTATTCCAGGGACCACCCAGGATGGAACCTGTTTTGAGCAATGGAACCAGTCTTCTGGCTGGTAGTTAGTATCTCACAAATAAATTTCGCATTCCTTGAACGCAGGATCTCTCAAGCTTTTAATTCGTACCGTGCGGTGCGGTGCGGTGCGATGCGGTACGGTGCGCAGGTACAAAAATCGTCAACGAAAATTCTCTGCAAAATACTAAAAGATTGTCCACTGATAATTCTGAAGTAATACTAATACAACACAAAAAGGGTTCGGGGGAAGTGTTCCGGAGAAGTGTTCGGGAGCAGTGTTTGAGAGAAGTGAAACCAAATTTGCAGAGGAATGCGATTCTCAGCTTGCCTTTTGATTCGTACGGTGCGGTGCGGTGCGCAAGTTACAAAAATTGTCTGCAAAATACTAAAAGACTGTCCACTGATAATTCTGAAGTAATACTTGACAATACTGAAAGCGTTCGGGAGAAGTGTTCGGGAGAAGTGTTCAGGAGAAGTGTTCAGGAGCAGTGTTCGAGAGAAGTGTTCCCAAATTTGCAGAGGAATGCGATTCTCAGCTTGCCTTTTGAATCTTAAAAAAAATTAGTACCTGGTATCGATCAAAGGGGGTTTAGAGTACAGTAGGTAGATTATCTACAGAAGCCCTGATTGGTGTAAGCAAAGAAGAGTCGAAATTCAGGACTAGGCTCCGTGGGATCAGGGGCCAGGGCGAGAAATTGAGGACCATTATGGGGGCCAAAGGGTTTGGCTTTGCGGGATCCACGGAGACATCAATGGGTAGCTTTCACAAGGGCAATCGAGATGCGGGTCTGCATGACGAATATCATTTGAGAGTATGACAAATGAGTTTTTGATTCTAGGGGGTTCCTCCTGATTGCAAAACAACGACCAGAAAATCTGCCTCCTTGTCGATGAGCAGTTGGTCACTTGTCAGTGGAGAACTGCTCCCTGCACGCCCCAGCTAATTATGCACATTGGAATCCCCCACAACAAAGGTACCGGCATGGGTACCGGTAGATGGGCAGCCATTTGCACGAGCCCAATCAAACATGTCCGTGTGGTTGTACTCTTGTGCATTGTCAAGTGTCTTATGATCCCAAGGACAGCCATTCTGTCTTGCCCACTTCAGTGTTTCCAGATGTCCACCTTTAGCAGCACCAGCACATGTGGATTCATCCCATGGACAACCATTTTCTCTGGCCCACTTTAGGAGTTCCAAGTGACCATGTCTAGCCGCCATAAAACAGGTTTTCACACCCCACCGGCATTGATGTTCTCTGGCCCATTTTAGCACATCCAAATGTCCTTCCTGAGCAGCAACATGACAAGTATGTTCATTCCAGGGGCAACCATTTTCTCTGGCCCATTTCAGTACTTCCAAATGTCCACCTAGGGCGGCAAGAACAAATGTAATTTTATCCCATGGACACCCATTCTCCCTCAACCATTTCAACACTTCCAAATGTCCTTCCTGAGCAGCAGCACGACAAGCTTGTTCATTCCAGGGGCAACCATTCTCCCTCAACCATTTCAGTACTTCCAAATGTCCAGCTTTAGCGGCAAGAGCACATGTCATTTTATCCCACGGACATCCATTCTCCCTCAACCATTTCAACACTGCCAAATGTCCACCTTGAGCAGCAGCTCTAAATATTTTTCCACTCCGACGACAGCCATTGGCCAGCAACCATTTCAGTACTTCCAAATGTCCAGCATATGCAGCACAACAACAAGTTTGTTTGCCCCATTTACAGCCATTTTCACGCAACCATTTCATGACGTTCAACTGTCCACCAATCGCAGCTGAATTGAACATGCGTTTAGCCAAAGGGCATCCATTTTCATGTGCCCACTTGAGGATGTCCAAGTGTCCAAGTCTAGCAGCTTGATTGCACGTTCTCTGAGACAATGGATATCCTTTACTTTTGGCCCACTGAATGACTGGAAGACTTCCAACCTTGGCAATGACCATGCAAACATCTTTCGAAAGAGGAGCTTTGTTGCTGGATTTGTCAGCCTCCCAGACTTGTTCTGCACACGCCACATTATTAAAGACAGCGCTGTAGTAGGTGTCATTGTAGACTGCCGGTCGTTTTTTCCGATTGTCGTCAAAGACAAGAGGAGGATTCGTGTCAATAGTAGTAGCACAGTATTCTTTGTAAAGCTGATTCATCTGTTTGTTAACGGAACCAACCAAGGCATGCTGTCCCATGCCTACCAAGGGAAGAATCTGGCCAACCCAAATGGCATTTTGGTCCAACAACCCGGAAATTGCGATTGGAGGATCCACTTTTCGCTTCTTTGGTCCCCGAGGCTGAGTACACCCTTGGTCCTGCAACTTGGTCTTCTTGGCAGTTGGCTTTGAATAATCTGTCATCATCATGGTGATTCAATTTTGTTTGGTATACTGTAGCAGGGAAAGTGGAAAGGAGTGTAGCTGTTTTCTCTTTGATCTCTCGCAAAAATAAGAGGACGCCAAGATGTGGTGTTACTACGACAGTCACGCTCGTGATTAACTCCAAAAAGGAGGGAAGAGCAGGCCAATGACAGAATGACAACTTTCTGACCGCCATTTTGGTTTGGGACGAGGAAACAACCACTACTACATGTACTAGCTAGAGCTGCTGCTACTTGTAACTAGCCAGTACAAGCAATACTGTATTGTAGTTATAAGAAGATGACTTTGGACTCGGACGACGACAGTGACGACGAGCTGCTCAAGGATTTGTTTGCTGGTAGTAGTAGTTCGCGTCGCAAACAGCGCAATGAGGAAAAGAAGGTGGCCAAAGGCTTTGAGCTGTTGGATCAGTGCATGGCCGACGCCGCTCGGATCAAAGCCAAAGATGATCGGATTGCCGAAATCAAGCGCGAAGAGACACAGACATCCGAGACGGACATGATTGCCAAGACGGAAGAAATGGTGGCCAATGCCAAGAAGCAACCGACTAGGCACGAAAACAAGGACCACATGGAAGGATCACTGGAAGATTTGGAACATGTCCTCAGTCGAGCGCGTTGTTTGGAATTGGGCAAAGCATTCAACACCAATTCCGTCGTCACATTGGGCGCACGACGGACCATGGTATTTCATACTCAACAACAACAACAACAACAATCGCACAAGATGTATTTTTTTGACACGGCCACAACAACACCCACGCAGTATTTGGTCCAACTCAAAAAAATTCTGCGACAGTTAGTATCTTTCAAACAAAAATCACTGCAGTCTGCATGGATTCAGCCGCTCCGCAACAGCACCAAGGATGTGGGGCTCTTTCAGACCTTTTTGGAGACCCACATGCTGGCCAAGGCACGGCAACAAGCGGGCTTCTCTCAAATTCCACAGGAAATTGTCCGTTGGCTGCTTCAAGTAGCGTGCAGTAGTGACGGCGACGTCGCAACCACAGTGCCCTTTCGAAATGGAGCCATGATCACTCTCCAAGGACTGTTGAGACAAAATAAACACATGCAAACAGAAACGAAAGAAAACCTCCGCCCCGCTTGTTTTGATTTGTCCCAATTAACAGTGCAACTGCAATGCTGGGTCTCTACTATTATTAGTACTGATGAAGAAATCACCAAAGATGACAACCAAAATGATACGGAACCAATAGCAAAAGAATACAACCACAATGCGAGGGGATTGGAACGCTTGCTCATTCTTTGGAATAGTGCATTTGACTCAGATCAGGTCTCCACAGAGGGAAAGGAAGTAGCTGCCAAAGATGCCATTCATTGCCTCGCGTTGCTGGTCAAGCTGAGTCTGGACAAGGAGGCTGTCCATTCTACCGAAACGTGGGTACCGTATTCTGCGTCTTGTGATCCTTTGGAACGGATATTTATTGTGTGACTATGTGACTGACTTGCCTTGACTTGCCTTGCTCTCCTTCCTGTCGTGTTCCTATCGTATAGCAACTTTCGTTTGACGCGGCATTTGCAAACCATCATGTCCAAGATTATCCATTTTGTGACTCGACAACTAGAAAATGATGAAGCAAGATTGTCAGCATGGACCAAGGATGCTGCCGTGGCCATCATGTCGGAATTGGTCCAGAGCCAACTGGGACCGGGAGAAGAGGAAGCCGAGGACGATGATGATACCAATGGATGGTTGTGTCTGGCCCTGGCGTGTCGCATGCTGCCCACAACAACCATCAAACGTAAACAACAACAGCAACAATCATTGTTAGTGGCACAACTAAAAGCCAGAGTGTGCCTCGAGGCCTTGCGGCACTTGATTGGACAGGAGTGGGAAGAGCAAGTGTACGAAGCCGTTGCCAAGTACCAAAAGTCTCAAAAAGATTCTACCGCTAGTTGTGACTTGGTGAGCAAAGCAAAGAATCATCTAAAGTGGCTTGTCTTGTGCTCGACGTTGACGGCATTGGTCAAGCTCAATGAGACGCCATCGAAAGACATGGCAAACGACACGGCAAAATGTCTTGCCATTGCTGAAGTTGCTTTAGGACGATGTCTCGATGTGGGAATGGAACTAATGAAAGCTGCGGAGAATGACGAAAACCACAATGACTTGGACGATGAGGACGACCCAAACACAAAGAAATCCTACAATGAATACCGAACCAAGGACGACGCTCGTGCTGTGGCGACACTGTTGGGATTTGTCGAGGTGGAATGCAATAAACTTTCAACTCTGATGAATGCAGGAATGATGACACCCCATTTTCAACGAGTTGGATACCTGGTGCAATGCCATCTCAAATACATTATGGAAGCACAACCCAATGCGTCCCATCATGGTGGCCAATCTGTCAAGACCGTTGTAGCGAAACAATCCACGATGGATCGATGGATCAAAAGGGGCGTGGATGCATCCTACGATGACGACAATGATGACGAGTCTGCAGAGAGTCCATGCAAGAAGCAACGGACGGTCTTGGGAGCAGCAGAAAACAAGCCTTGAGAAGCAGGGCAGAGGGTCGTGTTCTGCTTCGGAACCACTACTAGTCACCTCTAGCAAGCCAGGTAGTAGCAATAGATTAATGCTGTGAAACGTGCTCGATATCGTTGGCAAATCAGTACCACCCACAACGTAGAGAAAACCCCAGGAAGAGCAAAGCTTGTAGTCGTCGGAAGAAGGACGAGACATCATCATTTCAGTCCTCCGGGGTACGGTATCATGAGGGCGCACGATATCGTCCTAATTAGAGGTTTCGAAAGAGCAAATGAATCTGTACATTATGTATTGTATCTTTACAGGTACCGGTACTTGTAGAGCTTGTCTATCGTAAGTTTCATCGATAGGGCTTGTGCTTTGTGTTCCTCAGGAAGACCACCGGTGTTATTGCAACGTAAATCGATGCGCTCATGAAGAACAACAATGCTGCGAACGAATCTGCTCGTGCTATATGCAAGTTCTCTCGTGCATCATCCTTGCTGAAGAAGAAGTAGGAAAGAATGGCTTCCATTGCAGCCCCGGTAACAAAGCATATGTCTGCCATCCACAGAGCATTCTTGCAGGGGCCTGGAAGGAGAGCTCGAAGGGCAGGACGATAGAAGAACCTTGTGAGCCCCTCGAAGACAAAGAAATGCATCGAGAAGCAATGGAAGATGTTGGTAGTCGTAAGGTTGGTTTCGACAAACATGGATGCAAGTGCACTGAATGCTCCAGCCAATATCATCAGAATATGATATGGTCTCTCTTCGCGAACCATATCTGTTTCAAAAGATTGTTGGACGAACGAACCGTGAGCTCTTCCAACCTGGACACTTATTTTCAGCATTTAAAATTCAAGGCACTCACCCAATATGCCAACGACGGCGAAACAAAGGGAACCAACGAAGTAGACGATTTGATATTTTGAAACCCAAACGTCGTCATCCCCCTTTTCGACGCTGAAAACATAGTCATCATCGGCGCCCCCACGTCCGCCCCCTCGACCACCACCTTCGTTCTTGACGCTTGCAACTCGTGATTCGTCGCCCTCCTCCTCTTTGAGACCTGCTGACATCCAACTCTCTGCCGTCAAACCAAAAATCCTGAATGCGGCCTCTTGCTGCATACCTGACAATTCGTCCCATCCATAACTCTTCGTGTCGATGTTGGCACCTGACTCCCAAAGATCCTCATCAAAGCCAAGGACAGCCGCGTGGCTCTGAATTTCGGGCGGGAGTTGGTCCCAGGGAATCTTTTGCCATTTGCCATCACTGGCGTCCCATGTAGTCTCTGTGTAACCAAATAGTATGTTTGCAGCCTCTTGCTGAGCAGCTGATAGCTCACCCCAAAAGTACTGGTCAGTCGCAACTTTTGCACCGCCGTTCCAAAGCTCTTCTGTGAAGCCCAAAGCTATGGCCCCGCCCCTAATCTCACTGGGCAGCTCATGCCACAGGTACGAACGCCATGTTTCACCCGGGGCCAAGTCTCTGGTTGCCGATGTGGATGTGGGGGCTGGTGCACGAGTGCTTGCTGGAACAGGTGGGGCCGTGGACGGAACAGGCGTCGTCGTTGCCGGAACTGGTGCTTGAGTGCTTGTCGTTACTGGGGCAGGTGTTGGCGTTGCTGTCGTTGGAAGCGGAGCTGGTACCGGTGCCGGAGTGGATGGAGGAAGGGAGGGTGCGCCTGTAGAGATTGGCTGTGTACTAGCACCTGCATCAACGTTTGGATCAGCGTAAACGTCCCATGTTTCTTTGGTGTAACCGATCAATGTCGCTGCCACTTGCTGCTCTGGTGTTAGCTGATCCCAAAACAAATCGTCCGTGCCGGTTCGCTCTCCATTGTTCCACACAGCCTCGTTGTATCCCAGCACGATGGCTGCTGCACGGATGTCTTGTGGAAGATTTGACCAAAACATGGATCCCCAGTCTGGCTTTGAAGTTGGACGAGCTGATGGACTGCGGGTAGGCATTGGTGTCGCTGGCTGTGGCGAGTCAAAGGGCGAAGCCGTTCTTGCTGGAACGAAACCTCGAAGCATGTCCCAGAGGTACTGATTGTACCCCAAAGACAATGCTGCATCACGTTGCTCATACGTAAGGTCATCCCATCTGGTGGTGTCTGTAAGCGTAGGGCTACCATTGTTCCAAGATTCTTCATCATACCCTAACGTGGCTGCGGCAATTTGCTTGGAGAACGGTAGCGACGACCACGCCAAGTGTTCAGAAGCAGCCTCGGGGAAACTACCCGCATTCGAAGGAGCTGCCGTTCTGGGAGGTACAAAGCCTCTTAGCATATCCCATAGGTACTGGTCATAGCCAAGTGCCTGAGCAGCCTCACGTTGATCTGGTGTCAGGTCGTCCCACTTGATCAAATCTGCAAATGTTGGCAACCCGATGTTCCAAGAGTTTTCATCATGACCCAACGTGGCAGCAGCAATCTGCTTCGTAAAACTCAGATCTGACCACGGAGTGTGAAATCCAAAGTCACCATCTTGTGCTCGTCTTGTGGACTGGGTTCTATCTTTTCCGCCTTTGACACGCATATGCCTTCTTAACCCACCACCCATGTTGCGCAGGTCCGACCATGTAATCTCGTCTTCGTCTTCCTCGTCGTTTTGCGTCTTGCCAGTACGTACATATCCAGATCCAATGGCATCGGTATCGGCATCGGCATCGGTATCGGCATCGAAAGTGGAAATGACGTTGGTGCTTCCAACTTGTCCACTCCTTTGACGAACTCGAAACTCTCGCCACGTCGCATCATCGTCCGCTTCCAGCACTGTTTGCGGAATGGTTTGTGCTTCGTCTGCCCAGTACAAGTCATCAATTGATACCCACAGAAACATGGCACATGCAATAAAGAATAGAACTTTTGTAGTCATGGCCAATGCAAAATTATTGAGCTCCCTGTCTTGTTCGCTCATATCGCCATACGACGTCTGCGAGGGCACCCCCGAAAGAATGCTCTGCTGTGATTCCGGCATTGCTGGTCGGGGTCCCTCACTGCTGGAGGAAATATCCGTCATGTCATAGGCTCCTCTTGACGCCCTGGACCGGACGGTAACTTCTACGGCTTCTCCAGTGGTGGTGCTCATCGTTGCTTGTTCGTTCAAAGGTGACAGATTGTGCCGCTTTGCCTTCCGACTGCAAGCTATGCTATGAATCTTGCTGGTTGTGCGAAACTTTGCCCATCCCAGCCAACTCGACGCTCAAAAGTAGTTGATTTGTGAAGTGGAACAGGATCGTTGGGCTTACAAAATTGGCCACTTCGTGAACCTGCGCACCTCCTTTGGACCGTTGAATCTTTGGACGAAATAATGTTTCCACGGCATGTTGTTTCCACGGTTCGATGAGAGTGTCGGAATTTATCCTTCACCTTACGGGGATGGACCAGATCCACGCCACGCTTTGAAAACCAAAGATCCAAAGCAAAAGTCACAGACCCATCCCCATCGGCACAGCCTGAGGCAGTGTCGTTGTTTCTGCTAGACTAGCTAGTAGTAGAGTAGCTAGCCAGCTAGAGAGGTTGGAGGATAGCAAGTGCATCATCATTTGTAACATTCCTGAAGACGAGGCAACGAAGAAAGCTTGGTTTGTTTGACAGGGAAGAAAAGCAATCCTTTTGCAGGACTTATCTATCGATTCTCGAGGCGCTTTCTGCCAAAATCTTTTCCCGTATACCCTTTCCAAGCAAAGTGGCCCACCATGGCGAATCAATGGGAGAAACACCAAACTGACGAGGGAGAAACTTACTACTACAACCCAGAAACGGAAGAGACAACCTGGGAAAAACCAGATGGATTCCAAGAGGAGGATGGTGACGACAACAACGACCCGGCAGAAGAAAGTGGCAATAATAATGACGGTGTCTGGGAAAAACACTATGATGAAGATGAAAAAAAGCATTATTACAGCAACACAAAGACCAACGAGACCACGTGGGAAAAGCCAGATGGTTTCAAAGAGGATGATGACGCCCAAGAGGAAGAAAAGCCAGATGACGACGGTGAGAGAAAACCTACCAGCAAGAGTGGTGTCTGGGAAAAACACGAGGATGCAGATGGTAGTGCGTATTACTACAACACGGAAACAGAGGAGACATCCTGGGAAAAGCCAGAAGGATTTGTAGATGACGACGACGACAAAAAAGATCATCAGACCGACAAACAAGCCGTCAAAGAAGAAGAAGAAGAAGCTGAACGAATGGAAGAGGAAGCACTACCAAAGAGCCCAATTGGGGGTGTGGAAGAGGAAGCCCTGCCAAAGAGTCCCATTGGCGGGGCTGATGACGACGACGATGACAATGACAATGATGAACAAACTCAATCTGCTGGAACCTGGGAACGCCACGAGGATGAAGAAGGACGAGAGTACTACTATAATCCAAAAACTGACGAAACTACCTGGGATCGACCACCGGGCTTTCAAGAAAGTACGAAGGAAGACGATGACAACGACAACGACGATGATGCTGCCGTCAAGGAGGAGGAGGAAGAAGAAAAGCCAGAAGGACAATGGGAGAAACTAACTGATGACGAAGGCAGAGAATACTACTACAATGCGACAACAGATGTCACGCAATGGGACAAGCCAGACGATTTTATCGAGGGTGCTGCCAAGCCAACATCTCCCAAGCCTGCCAAAAAGGCATCCGGGTGGGAAAAGCTGACTGATGAGGAAGGCAGAGAATACTACTACAATGCAGAGACGGATGTCACTCAATGGGACAAGCCAGATGACTATGAAGAAGATGAAGGAAAAGGAGAACCTCCCAAACCATCAAAATCATCATCGGGCTGGGAAAAACTGACCGATGAAGAAGGTAGAGAATACTATTACAACGCGACAACAGACGTCACTCAATGGGAAAAGCCAGATGACTACGACGAGGGTTCCAGCTCTTCACCCAAACCATCAAAATCTTCGTCCGGGTGGGAAAAGTTGACCGATGACGAAGGTAGAGCATACTACTACAATGAAACAACCGGCGACACGCAATGGGACGCTCCAGAAGGATTCGATGACCAGGACGAGAAAAAGGCCGACGAAGATGACGAGTTTCAAGCTTCGCCCAAAAGGGAACCCAGCCCCATGTCGGTCGAGGAAGAAGCCGAAAAGGAGCCCGAACCTGAACCAGAACCTGAAATCGACCCGGTCGTCAAGAGAGTTATGGATGCTGAGGCTGCCCTGAACAAGCCAGACTCTGTATTGGAACCAGGTAGGTACAAAACAGTGGCGACTTGTCAGTGTCACTGTGTGTGATGGTTTCTTACCTATTCCTCGATCAAAGGTTGTACGTCGAATGTTTTGGAAGTTGTGGCCAGCCAAGATGGTAATCCCGAAAAGGCCATTGTTGCATTGATTGACAACTTTCAGGGCCAGACAGCCATTTGTGGGACCATCGCCAGATGGCTTGCCGATCTTCGTTCAGCTTCTTCCGACACGAGCGATGTGAACGAACTAGTTGGGAAAGCTAAACACAGTGTGGCAGATGGCATAAGAGAGACGGCACAAGATGTTGTCAGCCGAATTGCCAAGGAAAGATTCTCCAATGCAGTAGGAGACGATATTCTGAGCCTGTCCAAATCTGATGTCGCCTTCTTGGAGGAAATGATAGAGTCCAACCGATGGCGCAAGCTTTTGATTGAATTAGCTTCAACACACAAGGAGAGTGCACTACTCATGTACTGCATTCGAACAATTTCAAAGCGAGGATATCACAGAGAGCTTGTGAAAAGGATGAATCCATCGGAGTACTTTTCGGTGTTCAATTCCATGCTTCAGTCGGAGCTGACGATCGTCGGGAAGACAGCAATCAGCGCGGCAAATGACGTGGATACCTCAATTGGATTGGAAGAACTTGTCAGTGATCTTCATCGTACATGTACGGCCACAGCTTTCACTTACTTGTACTCTCTAGAGGTAGGTTGACCGTGAGCCTTTCATTGGGCAAAGATGGCAAATGGTGACTGACGACAATCCTCGTCACTTCAGGTGCTTCGCCATCTCGTGACAGAGGCAGAGGAGGACTCTGCTGCAGAACCTGGGTCTCGTATGAGAAGAGCTATTCGCAAATGGGAACGATTGAGTGAAGGTCAGTCTTTGCCGAGTCTGTGTCTCGCTGTGGACATTGTGGCGCTCCGCTTGGTCCTAACACAGTATCTTCTTTTGCTTTCCACAAGATCTTGACACTGCAATGGTGGACCCCTCTACCTCATCCGCCACGGCTGGGTCATCGACTATTTTTCGAAAGCGACGTTTGGATGTGGCACTTACTGTTAGTGAAATTCATCAACGCCAGCGGCGACGGCTCAAGCCATCATCAGATGAGGACGAGGCAATACCATTCTCCAATGGCAACGACCAAACCAAAAAGCTTGAATCGGGTCTGGAGCAGTTCTTGAGGCGCTTCTCAGTCGGGCAGCAAGCCAATGATAGCGATCTGGACGTGTTGCTTCCAACTGGCCTGAACATGCAGTCTGCAAAAGACGAAGTCGGACATTTGTTTGTTACCTACCCGCTTTCAATAAGAGCCCTCTTGAGCAATATTTTCAAAACGAGCGGAACCATTGGGAAGTCAATTAGAAGCAAGTGCTCGACGCTGCTTGCGGTTGCTATTCTTGCCAGCGAGAAGAGGGCTAGAGCCGAAATTGGGCAAGAAGAACCGGACCCAGAGTCGCCAGATGAAGTGGCGCTGACATCGACAATCAAGAGAGCAAGCGAACTTTGCGAAGAACTCGCAACAATGGCTTCCTTTGTTGTCACTAGCACCGGAACTGAGAGAGGGGCACTGTCGTCTCCAGGGCAGCATCTATGCAATCTGGCCCTCAAATGTGCCACGGTTGCCCAGGGTGTTTTGATGTGGGCCAAGGACATTATTTCAGGCAGCGAATACACGTCTTCGGCAACCTTTTCAACCTTCTCACCCAGCATCCTTACTCTTGTCCGTATCGTGTCCTCGAAGCATCCTTGTACACGAAAGGAGGCGGCTGATATCGCGTTTACTTTCCTACGGCACAACGTCAGCTCGGAGATATCCTACAAGAAAATCAACGACATCAGAGAACAAAGTCTCCGCCTGCTTCTGTTCCTCGTCGTGCACGGAGAAGCCCCTTCTATTCTCCGAACTCTCACAATCCTCCTTGGAAAAGGAGAGGCTATCAAATTGGATCCCTCACTGATGCGGTATCTTATCTCTGGAATGATTGAAGTTGTGCGCCCACCCTTTTCACTACCATTTGTTCGACTTTTTGGAGGTTTGCTGAAAACTCCACGATGTATGGACGCTGTACGTACGCGTTACTTCGGGGATGAGAAGAGAAAGCGCCTTACAACAATGCTTTCCGACTTTAAGAGATCGTGCATCACCCACAAAGGCAGAAACCAAGATGTGGCCTTGGTCGCCCACCTGATGAAGACGTATGCTATCAAGAGTAACTAACTCTGCTGATATTTTAGACTGCTACAATAAGTCCACAATACCGGTACCAGGTAATAGCTAAGTACGAGCGCAGCTAGCTAGCTAGTAGCTACTACTAGTAGATACGATGCTAAAGTCAGCGACTCTATGGTTTCCAATTCTTCAACAAGCAACCATATGCGACCGCAGGAATGCTAAAGGGAAAAAGCAACACTCCCATCGTCACCAAACTTGTCCCTCAGGTAAACATGAACAGTAACTGGACTCGCTGCCCCTTCCATTATCTTTCCAATGTCGTCTCTCTCAATTTCCTCGTGCAGATTGAGTGTAGTGAACTTGGCCAAGTCACTAGTCATGAAGGTTCGGTAGACATGGTTGGTTTTCGAGTTGACATACTCCATCACTACTTCCTTGGCCCCCTTCTGAAGCCCTCGTTTCTGGTCACTGGTCAGCTTTCGAAGTCTCCGTGTGACAGCTCCTGAGTTAAACACTGTTCGCACAAGTTTGTCAGATGACGCCGGAACTCGCACATCCACAAACCAATCTGGTCCCAAATCACTGCGGCAGAACCTAAGGGTAAATGACGATAGAGAAGCAGAATCACTCTGGTGATTGTTGCCTGGTGGAGGCCGAGTATGGAGCACAGGATTGATTGTCATAGAAACTGTACTGGTAGCATTTGAGGATTCAATGGGGCTACTGCAAACAACATCAGGATTATTCCCACCATTCCTGGGTGCTGGAGGGGATGATGTGGTCATGTGTTTTGAGGCCCTCTTGGGACGATGAGGAGGTGGGGGTATGTTCTTCATACCCAGTGCTGCCGAAGACATTGTAGATTGGTCGTCATCATCACCCTGGAAGGATTTGACTGGTGTTGGTGGTCTATTGGAGACAGATCGCAAGCTGCGAACTGTTCCCTGGTGGTGCCGAGGATGAGGGTTGTGATTCTCTTTGCCTTCGTGATCATTCTTCTGCACTTGCAGAGTAAGCGGTGCAGTTGTTGGAAGAGCGTGTTGCTCTGGAGGAATAGTAGCAGCCACCCATCCTGCAAATGTCGTATCGACGTGAGTTCTCAGCACTTCCGCCACAGCCGCAGTGCCTCTTTCATGTTCCATTGGAGTTTCTTTTGGGGGATGTTCCGATACTTCGCCACCAGTGCCAACGCCGTGTGTTTTGTGGGCAAACACCACTGCATTGTTGTCGCGGGATGGGATGCTGGGATGTTGTTGCTGCACCTCTCCTTCTGCTGCAGGCAAAGGGGATTCCACGTGGGAAGTTTGTAGATTGTCATCCGCTAGTTTGGTGTCATCTACAAAGACGTTGTCCTCTTCTAGAGTGTGGCTACCATCGTCGGTGGAATCATCATCAGCTGCCACATACACTTCAGAACAATCATCAGTGCAGGACACATCAGAGTGCTCGTCATCTTGACTATCTGTTTCTTCTAGAACGCAGGCATGGTTGATTGAGCCTTTTCTAGGTCGCAAGGTCATGGTCCTCGTTGGAACGGCAACTGCGGCGGCACGAGCAGCCAAGAGCTTTTGTTTCTTTTGATGGGTGATCTGTTTCGTGTGCTGCTTGTTGCTGCACTGTGCCTTTCGCTTGATCCCAATTTGTGCCGTACTTGCTGTAGTAGTCGTAACTGCTTGTTGCCTACTTTTGAGTTTCTTCCGGAGATCTTCATATCGCTCCAGATCTTGTTTCGTTGCGGTCCCACACCGGAGTTTGCTGTATAATAGCCGGTGCTCCTTTGACTCTCTTGGGACACTTGATGCAAGCTTTCCAGTGAGCTCAAAGTATCGCTGTTCTTGTATTTTGTTGGCATTTCCACGTCGTATTTTGTTGTATAAGAAAGTTTTCTCCTTTGACTCTCTTGGGACACTTGATGCAAGCTTTCCAGTGAGCTCATAGTATCGCTTTTCGTCTACTTTATTGGCTGTCCCATGGCGTATTTTTGTGTACAGGGCTGCTGCTTCTTTTGACTCTCTTGGGATACTTGATGCAAGCTTTCCAGAGAGCTCAAAGTATCGCTGTTCATCCATTTTATCAGCTGTTCCACGGCGTATTTTGTCGTACAAGGCTGGTTCCTCTTTTTTCCTTCTTGAGAGCCTGGATGCATGCTTTCCAGTGAGCTCAAAGTATCGCTGTTCATCTTCTTGATTGGCTCTTCCAACGTGTATTTTTTTGTATAATTTTTGTTCCTCTTTATTCCTTCTTGGGACTTTTGATGCAGGCTTTCCAGTGAGCTCAAAGTATCGCTCTTCATCTACTTGATTGGCATTTCCAACGTGTATTCTATTGTACAGGGCTGCTGCCTCTTTATTCCTTCTTGGGACACTTGATGCGGGCTTTCCAGTGAGCTCAAAGTATCGCTCTTCGTCTACTCTATTGGCATTTCCAATGCGTATTTTGCTGTACAAGGCTTCTCTTTCTTTTCCCTGCCTTGTGTTGTGGAGGGACTTGGTCTCCTTATTCTGATCTTTCGTCATGGTGACAGTTGATGGAGGAGTGGTTACCGTACTATGGCTTAGAGGGAGCTATTCAGTTTTGTGCAACAAGCTCAAAGGTGTGCTCGGCCAAAAGGTTCGCGCCTTTCAAAATTTGAATTTTGGAGTAAATGTGCGTCTGAGGTTGCTAGTTGACAATCTACTAGCTAGCTAGTGGCTACTGTACTACATGTAGTATTCATATGCCCCCTGGGTCGTCTCCGTTTCCAGTACTAGTTTAACTTGTCTACTAATACAGGATAATGGTGAATAGAATCGAATGAATCATGTGGCTTATATTTAGGGTTTAGGTTTTAGAAAGCTGCGAACTTGCTCACGATCCTATTACCGAATACCCCAGTTCCGACGAAGAGCGGGAACAGAGGAAAAAGAAGACGCCAAGCTCCAGCGGAAGCGAGCCAACCTCCACTTAACACACGTTGACTTCAAAATGC